ATAATAAGGGCAAAATATTTAAGTCGTTTGCATGCAGACATGAGAACTCAATGCATTGTCGACTAATGTTTCTTAATCTTTTTTGATTCACGGATCTCTATAAGAACTAGGCCGACATAGGCCGACACACAGACAAGTAGATACTCACAGTTGTTTTCACAACACTTGTACGTACATTTCTCCATAGTGCACCCGCATTGCACACTGTACACCCATCACTTTTCAGCCAGCCACGCTTGAATGAAATTGTGGTCCTCACCAGTATATTAGTAGATAACTAATCCGTGATAAACCGTGGAAAAACGAGAATTCTCATTTGCTCTTATGGAATGGTAAAAGATGGCGGCCGTGCAAAAAATGATGACACAATTTTAAATAGTAAACATAGACCTGCCTTGTCTCCATAATAAATACGTAAATAAAAAATTAATTATAGTGTCACAGTGTCGTGTCCATGAAAATACAAATAAAAATTAAATATCGGGTGAAAAATAATTATAAAAAATAATAATTATAATTATAATTAATTCCCACATTTTAACCCAATGATAATCGAACACACTTTTCTTCTCTACACGTGACATTCTCACTATCGGACAAGTAATCCACACAGACAGGCCGTCAACATGTGCGTCAACAGAAAATTTCGGCTCCTTTTTTCAGTCCATAATATTAACATTTATCTTTCAGCACTCAAGAAATATTCATGGTAAGAAAACTGGAGATACTTGTATTTTTCCAAATAAAGGATCTGGATACTTATCATACACATCTATAATATAGACTTTATACACATTGCTTATTCTTTTGTCGGATTCCGTTCTATGTTTGATCTACATTTAACCCCAATCTTACAATTTTACTCATTATTTCTGTCTCTAGTTTTTCCAATACCAGATAACAACCAGATAATAAATGCAACTCATTTTCTTGTTTCCTCGTCTTGCTGTTTCTTCTTTTTACGAGTATTTTTTAATATAGAAATTTCAATGGGTTTATAATTATTAACTCATGGTTATAACTACTACATACCCCACAGCAACTGAAAAGACGCCTAGCGGTCGACACTAAGTAGTGGCTGGGTGCGTTTTTTTTTCCAAGCGGTGGCAGAAAACATTTTCCTTTATTTCTTTCAATAGGAAATCATTGAATGGGACAAAGGATCTATAGCGAAAATCTTCCTTTTTAACTCTTCTTCACGGTCCACCTGAAACTCATGGACCGCCTAGTGGGTCCATAAACCCTAGGTTAAGAAGCTCTAGTTTATTATATTAGTTTAATCTATATAATACTCTTATTTAAATAATCTATCACACACACACACACACACACACACATATATATATATATATATATATATATATATATATATATTGAGTATTCCGTCTATTCATTATGTATTTTCTATAAATCCTATAGAGAGTAATGTAAGAGATCTACATTTGTTCCCTTAATGATTGCCACTGAGTTACACCGCCTGAAAATGATAACAACAGAAAAGCAGAAAAGATTACGAGTCTGCGCATCCGTAGTTTATAGTAATATCCATTCAACTCTTGTGTAATATGTCTAGCGAATACGGAAATAAACACCACGATAGTCGATCATCAAATGACAAAAAATGGTTTCTCAGCCGGATGATTCTCGTTTTCTTTCGGTTAATTAATTAATCCTTTGAAAATAAATAATTAACATTTCAGCCGATGGGTCAGGTTCCCGCCGACAATAAAAAAAAAACGTGCATCATGGTTTCTTTGAAGAGTATTTAAATAAAGTCTCTATACGGACAAAACCAGTAAGGAGATAGAAATGGAGACATATGATATCAATTCACAACGGCGGCTTCAAAGAGATTCCCCTACTCACCTACCCATCTTCCTCACCAAGCTACGTGACACTTACACTTTCATCTTCACATTCTCCGTTGCCTATTTTTACATACAGTGTCTTTTTATCATCTTCTTTTTCATCTTAACAAACAACTATAAATATATATACATATAAAAAAATTATATGTAAAAATATATAAACAAAAATATAATCCTTCTCGCCTTTTTCTTTGTTGTGGGTCGATTCAAATCCGCAACAAATATTTTATTAAATTATTCTTAGAATACTTGGAGAGAATATTTTCCGAAAATCTTTAGTATATTTATTTATTACAGGATTCAGGATTGGTTGTTTTTTTTACGTGTTATCAGCACTTTGCTGGTTAGTTAGCCAGAAAATATTTTTAGATAGATTTTTTTTAGTAATAATGATTTTACTGACAGTCCTACTAATTAACCCATGGCTGGGGGGAGAAGAGGTGGATTCATATCATTCCCGGGGGTATTTGCGCGTTAGTGACTATAACGAACCCGACTGGAATTGAACCTCGACTCTCTGTTTTCCATTTCACAACCAGCATCAGGTATTCCTAAGCGGTTGACCATTTAGGTACTGACTAGGCTCGACGTTGCTTAATTTCGGTGATCTTACAAGAACCATTGTTTCAACGTTCAATATGGCTGTAAGCCTTATTATTATTATTAATCGAATTTATCCCATGTAAGGTATAAAAGCCACTAAGATAGAAGGGGTTACTGATTGAGAAAGAATTAGAAAAGAGAAACATTATTAATGAGCGAGGACGAAGGAAGACTAATCAGGAAGACAATAAATAATGATTGACATTGCATTTCAAATCTTGAAGATTAAATTTATCCGAAAAGCATGAAGCAATATAGCGAAGAGATCATCCAAACAATTACCATGAAAGTATTTATAGAAAAGGCACAGGGAAGCAATTTTTATTCAGGAAAGTAAGCGAAAACGAGACGTCAGGTCAGGACCAGTAATATTGCTGATACTTCTTTGGAGTTTATGAAGAATCTTTAAACATCTAGCATGTGCACCAGACCAGATGTAGCAGCAATATTCAAAGCATGGTCGAATGGTAGACTTATAAATATTTAAGATAGATTCTGAAGAGAAAAATTGTCTTGCATGGCAGTGAACAAACTTTCTTAGCAGCTGACTTAGCAATGGATTCAATGTAGCTGGGATAACATTCTCAGCCGAGAAGGTGCAATGAGTCACTCTCCTGGTGGTTAGCATCGGCCATGGTGATGGAAGGCAGCAAGGGGTCTCTCAGATCATTAATAGAGAGCAGTTTTGTTTTGAAAGCGTTAAAATTAGCAAGCCATTTTTGCGCCAGTTAACAACAATCTGTGGGTCGTTTTTTTTGTTTTTGTTTTTAGATCAGCTGCAAATTTGACCTGACCGAACTGATCAGACTTACTATGGAAACAGGAGTAAATAGTTATATCAGCAGGATAAATAAAGAGTTGATGCCATCAGGAAGGTCTTTAATGAAAATAAAGAACAAAGTATGATTAAGGGCAGGATCCTGGGCGACACCTACCTTACAAAAGCATCTAGAAAAGTGTCTGTTCAGGATATAATTTTGCATTTCACTATTTGATAAGTGTCATATAAGAATAAAGTGTCGCTGCCGACACTTGGGTTTGAACATTGGATCGCCAAAGAGAGAGAGAGAGAGAACATTCGACCTCATCTTGAAATAATTAGATCACGTGACGGGTAAAGTGAAATTAAGACGTATGTTGTGATCCGAACTGTCACTCAGGTATAACCGGAAAAAGTGATTTCTGTGGGCTAGAGCAGCAGAAAATGCAGGTGTGAACAATGGAAAAGAACGAAATCTTTCACTTGGCATTTCCGAGAAGTGACAAAATTATCTATGCCAGCTTTGACCCAAAAAGAAAGCTCAATGGCCCAATTCTCAATGGAAAGGTTAAAAATATCAATCCAAGGGGCGTTTTAAAGAAAGTCACGAAGTGAATCCCAATCAGTATTTTGGTAAAAGAAAATGATTAGCTTGATGTCTAATAAATGATTGGAACAAAATGTCAATAGATACCTCAGAGTGATCAGAGTTGCCAAGAGAACAAGAGCTATTAGAGAACGTAACGAACAAATCAAGTAAAGAAGCATGTTGATCAGATATATTAGGGAAACGAGGAGGGAAATCCACGATTTGGGTAAAAGACAGAAAAAGATTGAAGCATTAGAATGTTTAAACCACTTATTGTGATGCGCATTGAAATCGCCAAACGCAAAAAACATATTATCAGATGATAGCTCCGTTTCTATACTTTCGGAAATGTTATCTAATATATTGCAGTTCTGAGAAGATGGGGAGCGATGAAGGAAAAAGAGATAGCTAACAGACAAAAATAACGAAAAAAAACAAAAAGAAAATTTCTGGGTATTCGACTGACAATTCCCTTGCCATTAGAAGATTATCCCAGATGTAAACACCAAGGCTATGCATATGAATGCTAGAATCTTTTTGGATAGCCTGGAACAGAGAATTCAATAGTAGCAATGGCAGAATTTAATTTGGTTTCACTGGGTGCCCCAAAAAAAAATTCTACACTGCAAAAGTTGGAATATTGGAGAAAAAATGTTGAGGGTTTAGGTGATTTTATTTTTGAATTTTTACTGGTTTTCTCATATTCAGTGAAGAACTTCAAATTTTACAGACAAAATCCTAAAGTGTGCACACATTTTGAAAAAATAAACAAAACTTTAAAAATACCGAAGTATTAAATCCATATTAGAGAAAATTACCAAAACATTTCTAAAAAGTATCACAGAACTTTTTTTTAGCAAACATGGACCTTCGAGCTTGCAATAACAAACAGTGAACTTCGTAGTATCATTGAGACGGGACATCAAAAAGACAGTTTTTCCCATGACACCGCTATTATTTGAACCAACTTCACTCCGCGGCAATGTTTAATGTTTCAAAAAGCAATGATTAGAATTGAATAAAACCTAAACATATGAAAATGAATTTACACCTTTTCTTTTTGATATTTTTTTTAAATTTGAACCATATTTTTTTACATTGTTTATTTACAAGAATAATTTTATATTTTTACAACATTCGAAAAACTAATACAATTAAAACTAATGCAATGCAATATTTATCATTTACCAATTTATAAAGGAAATAAATGTTCAACAATTTTTTTGTTCATAAATTTAAAAACATTTAATAAATTTTATTAAAATATGTGAATCAACTATAAAATTTTCTTTTTGTATTTAGCATTTTATAAAGTTTGAATCAATTGGTAATTAGCTAATGATTTGCCAACCATTTCAATAAATAATCTAATAAATAAATTGTTTTTATTTTTGTTGTAAATTCTCAAGAACAAAGACATTGTATAACTTCACTTTCATCATATGTTTACGTTTTATTCCAATTCTAATCATCGCTTTTTAAAACAAGGAACATTGTCGACGAGTGAAGGTAGTTAAAATATAAACTGTGTCAGGGGAAAATTCGTCTTTTTGACCCTCCGTCTCAATAAGACTACAAAGTTCACTGTTTGCCAAAATCAAATTTCAGACAATAACTAGATAACAAATTGAAAAGATAAAATCAAAACTTTTCAAAAAAGGCCATATCTTATTTTATAAATTTCAGACTACGGCATCCATATTGACTTTTATTTTGGGTTAGGATTTTTCATTTTGTTTTTTCCATTTTTATTTTTCAATGTCTTATCGTTAAAAAGCGTAAATCACAATGTAAACATCAAATTAAAAGTGAGGTGGCAATCATCTTACTTATTATAAAACGCAGATTGTGTGTGTGTGTGTGTGTGTGTGTGTGTGTGTGTGTGTGTGTGTGTGTGTGTGTAACGTTTATATATTGTATCGGATTTCCTACATTTTTCAACCGATTTCAACAAAACTTCACAGGACTACATAAAATTACCTTGTGGTGGTTCTAACAGCGCCAAAAATGGGAAAAAATATAATTGTTTTTGCACAAAATCAATTTGAAAACACGATTAAAAGACATCGTGAAAATGGAAGGGGACAACTCACATCGGGTTGTTTGTGTGTGTGGTTCCTTTAAATATGGGATCGGATTTCCTATATTTTTCAGCCGATAAAACAAAACTTCACTTTTTTTTTTTTTTTTTTGGCAGGTAGTGTTTCTTATTCTCTTGCACACTTTTTTTTTATTTTTACATTCAGAATGCTTTAAAAATTCCATTTACAAGACAATTATTTATAATAAAATTCTATTCAATCAGGGAGACTCATAACGATTGAAAACAATGTTTTTGTTTGAGTTTGGTTTTTTTTTTTCGTCGTAAAAAAAAAAAAAAAAAAAAAAACTAATTAAGACATGCGTGTCCGTCAACCTTAAACAATAATCTAACGATCTCTACTGATTGTACGAATACAAACATCGGATAAATTCTTTATCTTTAGGGAAAGATAATGAAATCTAAACATACACAAGTCCTAACTAAAAATAATAACCGGAACGGGAAACTACTTTAAATACACATGGTGTCCAATTTTTTACTGTATTCAATAAAAAAATCATAAATTGTAAAAAGATTATTATTACAGAAAGGCTACTAAATGAATAAGATTTGTTAGATCATAATTAATAAACCCAAATAAAGTTAATATTTTTTGTATTAGAAACAACGAGTGGAAAATATATTCAAATCAGAATTCTAATTATGAATCACCACAAGCAAAATATGCAATTTTTTTTACTGTATTCAATAAGTAAAAATCATAAATTGTAAAACTAAAAAGATTACAGAAAGGCTACCTACATTTTTCAACCGATTTCAACAAAACTTCACTTTTTTTTTTTTTTTGTAGTGTTTCTTATTGTCTTGTGTGTCTTTTTTTCTTTATTTTTTACATTCAGAATGCTTTAAAAATTCCATTTACAAGACAATTGTTTATAATAAAATTCTATTCAATCGGTAGACTCATAACGATTGAAAACAATGTTTTTGTTTTGAGTTTGGGTTTGACCAATTCGTAAAAAAAAAAAAATAATTAAGACATGCTTGTCCGTCAACTTAAACAATAATCTTTGTCAATTTTATTTTTCAGTCTTTATGATGGTGGATACTTGATCTATCTCTTACTGTTACATCCCCGGGCAATTCCGGGCTCTACTGCTAGTAGAAAATAAAATAAAAAACATCACCAAAATTTTGAATAGGGACTACTTTAAATATATGTTCTCTTTTACATAAATGCCAAAAATTTTTTTCAAATCCAATTATTAGATTATTTTTGGAACTTTTTTAAAATGTCGTGTTTTTACATGATATTGTCATACACCTCAAAAAAAGGCAGTTTATTTTTATTTTTACAAATTTTTTATTGTTTAAACAATATTTTTAAAAGCAAATGTTTCTGATTCTGCTTAAAATCTAGAAAAATATTTATTATCTGTCTATATTTATGAAAAAATATTTTAAAAAAATATTTATATCATATTTTTTTCTCATTCTTTTTGAAAAAAAATTAAAAACAAAAAAAGATCAAAAAAAAACGGCTTTGTATATTTTTACAGACAAAGCAAAATTTCCAAATTTTTTTTTCAATAATTACTTTGTCTTTTATTTTAGTCATTCATTCATGGTTCATTTTGTTCTTTCTTTCTTTTCTTTCTTTCTTTCTTTCTTTCGTTCCTTCTCTTGTCTATATAAATGAATGCGAATGTCTGATCATTCATCAAAATTTTTGGATAATTCCTAAAAATATAGCCCATATAATCATACCATTCTGGAATCATTCAAGTTTAAAAACAAACAAATTAAAAACATTTCGATACGGATCAGGAAACAATCTTGATATTTTATATTCCAAAATTTTCATTATGCATATGTTTTCGGCGATTTTTTTCAAATAAGATAACAATTTTTATAACTTTACAATTCGGATTATTTGAAATGTTTGTTTAAATAATCGAAATCATTTGAAATAAAAATAATGTTTGTACAGAAATTAAAACCTATGTACATCAAACTGTCTTTTATTAAATTAAGTAGACATTTATATTTAATTATGGTTGAACTTGTAAAGGGTAAGCTTTTCCTGTTATTTTAATACAATTCATAAATGCAGCGATCCATTTTGAGTATTTCTGTAGTATACTATTGCCTATCGCATACGGCAATCCTATCACTGGATCTAAAATAACTCCGCCAGATCCAATTGTACCATGTGGCATTGAGGACAAAAGATGGTCTCGTGCAAATTATAAAACCAGATCAAATCAGCCAACATTTTAATTGAGCTGATTTGAATTTTTTTTTGTTATTGTTTTTTTCTCTATCTTGAACAAGCCGAAGGTCCAATTAAGAGTTTCCAACCAATTGAAGAAAAATAAATTAATTTTACAACGACCTTTAATTTTATCTTAATTTTAATATCTATATCATTTTTCTTTCTTTCTTTCTTTCTTTCTTTCTTTTTTAATTAATAATAATTGTTCTTTCTTTTATTTTCATTCCTTCTTTCTTAACATCTATTTTATCTCTTCCTTTTCCTTCTTTCTTAATATTTTTTCTCTTGTCTTTCTCCCTTTTAAATTTAATATCTATTTTTTTATTTTTTCTTTCTTTCTTTCTTTCTTTTTTTTTTTATTTGGTCTTTTGATTTCGTTCTTTCTTTCTTTCTTAATCAATTTAAATGTTTTTTCATTTTTTTTCCTTCTTTAATTTCTTTCAAAAGTAATAAAAAATTTTTTTTTTATTCCTTCTTTTCTTTTTTCTTTCTTTCTTTTTCTGTCTTTATTTTGGTTCTTTCTTTTACAATTAAATTTTTCAACACTTTTTTTTAAAACATTTAATTTCTTTCTTTCTTAAAATGGTTTTTTTTTCTTTTCTTTTTCTTCTTTATTTCTTTTTTCTTAATATCTATTTGTTTTTTCTTTCCTTCTTTTTTCTTTCTTTCTTTCTTTCTGTCTTTCTTTCTTAATATCTTTTCGTTTTTTCTTACATACTATCTTTCCTCATTTCTATTTTTCTTTCTTAATATCTATTTGTTTTTTCTTTCCTTCTTTTTTCTTTCTTTCTTTCTTTCTGTCTTTCTTTGGTTCTTTCTTTCTTTCTTAATATCTTTTTGTTTTTTCTTTGTTTTTCTTCTTTCTTTCTTTTTTCTTAATATCTATTTGTTTTTTCTTTTTTAAAAGTTTTTTCTTTTTTTTAATCTTTTTTTTCTTTTTTTCCTTCTTTTTTTTTTCTTTCTTTCTTTGTTTTTGTTTCTTAATGTTATTTTTATTTCTTTTTTTTCTTTAAAAGTTTTCATTCTTTCTTTTTAATTCTTTTAATCTCTCTTTGATTTTATCTTTTTCAATTTTTTCTTTTTTTTTTTCTTTATTTTCAACATATTCTTTTCTTTCTTTCTTTCTTTCTTAATTTCATTTTGTTTATTTCTTTCTTTCTTTCGACAACTCTTTATTTCTTTCGTTGTTTATGTAGAACAAAAAGACAACAAAATATGTCTTATTTAGTTTTTTTTTTTTTTTTCCTGGGTCAAACCCAAACTCAAACAAAAACATGAATGTTTTTCAATCGTTATGAATTTACCGATTGAATAGAATTTTATTTTAAACAATTGTCTTGAAAATGGAATTCTTAAAATATTCTGAATGTAAAATATCGTTGTTTTTGATGTCAAATTATCCAATAAACACTAATTCCCCAAAAAGTGAAGTTTTGTTGAAATCGGTTTGAAAAATGTTTAATCCGATCCCATATATAAACAATTAACACACAAACACAAACAACCTTTTTTAATAATAAGTTTAACTCATATGAGTTTATCCCCTTTCATTCTTTGATATGCCTCTTAATCGTGTTTTCAAATTTGATTTTTTCAAAAAACAATTGTGTTTTTTTCAATTGTTGGCGCTGTCAGAACCACAAAACGTAGTCCTGTCAAATGTTTTGTTGAAATCGGTTTATAAATATATAAATCCGATCAATATATATACGTATTCGTTTAAAACACACACACACACTTTTTTCGAGAACAATTTTTTTTATTTCTTTAAGATATCTATTTGTTTTCTTTTTTTCTTTCTTTCTTTCTTTCTTTTGTTAATATCTATTTGTTTTTTTTTTTTTATTTCTTTCTTTCTTAATAACTATTTTTTTTTCTTCATACTAAACTTCTCTTTATATCTTTTATTCTTTCTTTATTTATTTGTTTTGTTTTCTTTAAAGTTTTGTATTTTTTAAAATAAGTTTTTCGTTCTTCCTTTCTTTCTTTAATAATTGAACTTACCTTTTTTTTTGTCGAAACAATAGAATTTTCACATGGTCCATATATAATTATTATAATTGCCTTAAATAATTTAAAAATAAAATTAATAATTCATTTTGATAAAAGTAGTTGCCAAATAAATGCAAAATATGTAAGCATTTATAATATAAAAAGTAAAATCATTCTTTCTTTTCAAGAAATATCAGTCAAAATTTCAACTAAAAAAAATATCATCAGAAATATTAAATCCTGCATTTAATTATCCTGGCATCGTATTTATAAATTCATATATAATTATTCGTCTATATATAAAATGTATATATATATATATATATATATATATATATATATATATATATATATATATATATTTGTTTGAATAAAAGACAGACCACGTTAAGATTCCATGTAATAAGCTATTTCACCATAACCCCTTTAACAGGGTTCTGGATCATCAGACTTTCTTCCAAAAAGCTGAAATGAAAAATGAAAAAAATTCATCACACGTTTTTTACGGACCTCATCAAGTATACGTAAAATTAACGAAGTGAGGAAGTGAGGTGGGAGAGAGGATATGAGTGTGTCATATGTATCATTTTGGTTTCCTATTTTTTGAACCAGTGTGTCGGCTAGATGTTGCTCAAATTTAACGCGTCTCGTCTCTAGATAAAAGACCGACATTAAAGGATAAGAACGACATTAAAGGAAGACGTTACAACAACCCCAATAAATTACACGACAGGTTTCATTCAAATTCTTAGACGCTGTCAGTTCGCGTTACTTTAACGTGCATATTTGGGAGGTTAAGGTTTGATAAATATCTAAATGTCTAAACAATCTACGAAGAAATTAATTTGAAATTCGGTGGAGTTTTGGGTATTTTCTACGAAACAGTCGATTGGAAAAATTCATAGACAGTACATTAAAAGAGTAATCCATTTTATATTTAGTAATCTTTTTTATTCTACTAAAACTTTTATCTTATTGCTTGTTAGGTTGACATCTATTCGTTTGATTTTTGTTCATTAAGTAAACTCGTGATTGTTTTTGATTTTTGTTCATTAAGTAAACTCGTGATTGTTTTTGATTTTTGTTCATTAAGTAAACTCGTGATTGTTTTTGATTTTTGTTCATTAAGTAAACTCGTGATTGTTTTTATGTACCTAATTATCAACGGTTATTCCTATTTAAATAATTTTATCATCAATAATGGGGTAGTATATTTCAATCTAAATTAAAATACCAATTTAAACTTTACCATCGTGCTATATATATATATATATATATGATGTATGTGTGTATATATATATATATATATATATATATATATATATATATATATATATATATATATATATATATATATATATTAAATAAAAACAGACCACTTTAAAGTTCCATGTAAATAAATTATTTCACCACATCCCTTTTAAAAGGACTGCGGATCATCAGACTTTACTTCCAAACAAAAAATGAAAAGAAAATTTACACATTTTTGACGGGCCGTATTAAACAAATGTAAATTAACGAAGTGAGGAAGTGAAGGGGGGAGTGAGAGAAGACATGAGTGAGTCAGCAGATATTGACACATTTAAACGGTTAACTTAACGGAAGTTATATATTGATATCGAAGGGGTAGAAAAGAAAAAATCCATAGAGAGAAAAAGAGGAAAGAAAGTTATGAGAGAAGATGTCACTAATTTTCTTTGTAAAAAAAAATTTTCTAGAAACAGACAGTTATTTTGCTTTACTTTGAAAGTGTTATTTTTAGGGTTCATAAAATTATAATGTTTGATATCAATTTGAATGTCTCTAGACTGTCTACAAATAATTTAATTTGATGTTTGTTAGTGATTTAATTTTTTTTTTATTTTTCTTTCTATGAAATAGTCGATTAGAAAAATATTCATAGAAAGTACATTAAACGAATAAAATTTTATTTTAAAATATAAGTTTACATCTAGTAATCTTTTTTCTAATCTCTTTAAAAAAATTTTTTATTTAAATTATTTTCTCTGGATTTACATTGAGCTCTCTGGATTTTATCCTCCTTAGGTTTACCCATACATATTACCTAGTTTTTCATAAACTATATATATATATATATATATATATATATATATATCAGATGAAATCTACTATAAAGTTATATTTTACTCTCATGCGGATACTTCACACATGTATTTTACTTTCTCTTTACTTACAATTTAGTTTTCCAATAAAATAAAGGTTTTCACTTAAAAAATAGAAAATTATAACTAAAATGAAAAATTATAAATCGATGGTTAAATTAGGTGTTTCTACAGTTTTCTAATCTAAGGGAAATAACTCTTTAAATGTATAAGAGTGGCTTCCCCTTACATATCAAGGCAATTTGAAGAATGTTAATTTTTTAAAGCGCAATAGTCATATTTTGTTTGTTGTTGGTTTAGTGACACATCACCTCATTATTAGTCATTTAGTACCAAAATTATCTTCTTCTTGGCAACATTTATAATTTCTTTTACAAAAATATATTGCTGGTAAATTTTTTTTTATATATAAAAATCTATTGCAGAAAAATATTTTCTTTTTTTTTTTCAAAAGTGTATTACTGGTAATTTTCAAAAGTGTATTACTGGTAATTTTTCAAAAGTGTATTACTGGTAATTTTTCAAAAGTGTATTACTGGTAATTTTTCAAAAGTGTATTACTGGTAATTCTTTGACTCTATAGAATGTATTGTTTGTATTTTCACTAAAAAAAAAGTATTTTTATACTTTCATAGTGATTTCACTTTGGGGATTAACTATTTGCCCATAGCTGGGACCCTAACAGTTGCTACCACCTCGGGTCAGGCTGTACCTGGGAACACCAGCAATTATGAGGCGGTTTAACGCTCAGCAAAACATGCAGATCAGAGGTCTTGCAGCCGGATGTAGTTTATCGTCATACCCAGGACGAGCAAATGGTTATAAGAAAGTAATAACGACTCCAACAGCAGTAACTGTATTTGTTACATTGAGTGAGAGTTGATAATTGTTATTGACTTATACCATAGAAGAGAAAAATCTGATTTGAATTTTGACGGGCATTTTTTTTCAAAATATTATTTATCGCCCAAAATTATTGGGTTTTGTCTAAGTGAAGACATAATTCGCTTGAAAATGCTGGTTACGGGAAACTGATTAATTTAATACTCACACACACACACACACACACACACACACACACACACACACACACACATATATATATGTATATATATATATATATATATATATGTGTGTGTGTGTGTAAAATAATAAAAAGGAAAAGAACTCGTTAGGTAAATAATCCAAAGTCCTTTAGTATTTTTTATTATTATTTTTTAAAAATAGTGCTCGATACAAAAGTAGAGCCTAAATATAATTATTTATTCAAAATATGAATCCAACGCTACATAAGAGTCCCCATGTTTCAAAACTATATAATTATTGGAATTAAATTGAATTAAAGTACTAAGCTATGTTCCATCTTCAAGCGAAATTTTTAAGCTTAGTACATTAATTCAAATAATTATATTGAAGTTTTCAGCTCTTGTTTTGAAACATGCGAACTCTTATGTAGCGTTGGAATAATATTTTAAATAAATAATTATATATATATATATATATATATATATATATATATATATATATATTATTTATTAATTTATTTATTATATATATATATATATATATATATATATATATATATAAATATATAAAATGAAATGGACAAAGTCCGACAATTATTTTAAAACATATTTATGTTTATACATTCTTTTTTATAGATAAAAAATATTTAAGTAAATGCTCTGTTTATAATAAGCAGTATTAACAACATTTACCGACCTGAATGTCCGAGAAATTGTCAGAGAAAATATGCGTCCTCCGACAGGAATCGAACCTGTATCGTATACGGAACCGTCATATAGCCTGACGTACTTTTACCGATCTCGCCACAGTAAAATCAACCCTGCTAACTGAACGCTCCTCTGCTATTGCTAAAAATGATGTAGAAACGGGCGGTCCTTCTATCGCTCCTAGAAAAAAATAGGTTCTTCTGACAGGCTCTAGTTTTATAAAAGGCAGATCAGACCAAAAATAGAGTATTGCTGGCGGATCTGGGCTGGAGCTAAAATATGAGTTGTACTCTATTTAAAATAAACCGCTGCTCTGAGTATGATAAATTACATCCACGTCCTGTGTATGACGATAAACTACATCCGCGTCCTGAGTAAGACGATAAACTACATCCGCGTCCAGGGTAAGACGATAAACTACATCCACGTCCTGGGTAAGACGATAAACTACATCTGCATCCTGGGTAAGACGATAAACTACATCGGCGTCCTGGGTAAGACGATAAACTACATCCGCGTCCTGGGTAAGACGATAAACTACGTCCAACAGCAAGGCCTATGATAATATTACCAGCTATACGTTTTCGAGAAAAAAAATATTAACAGAAATGGATTTTTAACAAAACAAAAATATTACATGGAAAAAAAAAGTTGTCGGCATTAAATGACCCATTTAGCTTGATATGCCGTAAAACAAAACAAACCATATCTATGCACAAAAGCTGAGTATCATTTACCATGTATTCAATTTTATTACTTCAGTGATCCCAAGAAAATTAAGTGACCCATAAAGAGTTGATGTGCCGTTAAACAAACAAATCAAGCAATCAGTGAAATTAAGTAAAGCCTGAAGAAACCCCTAAACAAGGCTAATTTCCTCTGTTGCTTTTTTTACGATTAAACCGACGGTGCCCACTTTTCTTTGTTTCTAACGATATTTTCCTGTTTCTTAATACTTTGCTTGGCTTTATGAAAGCATCTTTTGCTAATCAAGAATGCCTTCGGATTTCGGT